GAAACATAATATGCTATTTCTCTTTTTGGTGCTAGGGGTTGAACCTAAGGCCTCATGCTTGCTAAGAATGTGCTCCTCCACTAAGTTCCATAGCCATAATACAAACTTAAAATTGGAATTTTTCAACAGCAGAGAGTTCTTGAAATTATTTCTAAAAAAACCCCATAATTTTTATAAATGGGGAAAAAAACCATTCTTTATTTCTTTTAGAGCTTGAAAATGCTCTGAAATTAAATGTATAGTTGTGTGTTTTGTATATTTATCTTTCTGGGAAAAGGAACTGTTTTCATAATAGTCCCAAAGGAGTTCATGATTCCAAAACATTTAAGATCTACTACTTGGAACAAGAACGGAGAAAATATACACACCCTAGCAAGAGATTGCAGTTCATTTGTAGTCTCTAAGTTTATCTATTTTAATTAGCCTGAGAGTACATATTTACTTACAGTATTTTCATTATTGCCAGTCTTTTCCTGTGAAGGGAAACTACAGAGACAAGAGGTCTCTGTGTGGAGATAAACAGCCCTGGTGGTCAAGACAATCATAACTTTTTTTAAAAACTGTCTCTTTTTACTGTATTTACTTGAAGTGATACAGGTTTAAAGCCTCAGCAGTCATTATAAAATGTGAAAAATCCTAAAGCTTGAATCACCTAGGCGGGTCTAAGTAAATAACACTGTAGAGGAAACAAAGAATGACTGCTCAACAGTTATGGATTATTCATGCTCTTATGTAGCCAAACTGGGTCACTAAGAAGCAAAGCAGATGGAAGCTGTGTCTGTCAGTCAGAAAGGAGTTCTGAATAATCAAAATAGTGGTAAAATAATTTCTTAAGAACTTAGTGCCATGGCATTTTAAGATCCTTGGCAAGGATCTGCTATATGTTCTTTAAAACAGCATTTTATCCATAGCACAAAAGAAGCCTAAACTGTAGTAAAAATTTCTGGTTACTTACCCAGGTATAGCAGTTATGTTAACCAAGGGAGCATTTTTTCAAAGAAGCCAAAAAATAATTACACTTTCTTATTCTTAGTTTTTGTTTATATACCCAGGGAAAATGTTGAAATAACTGAGACTTCATAGTTGGTGCTTTTCTGTTTAGTGTAACCTCTACCATCTGCCTGCATTCAGTTGCAGCCAGTGAGCATTGGAAAGCAGGAGTACTACTCACAATCATATGCGTTGTGGCTGGCATGTAGTAAATGGTCAGTAGATCCTTTTTGAATCATTTGTCAGTTTTCCTCTTATATTTACTATAACCTTTGCTCTTCTTACACTGAGCCATCTTTAGATTAACATTCTAGAAGAATGAACAATGGCTTTTCAATGGATTTCTCCAGAAACCTTACAAATATGAAAAATTTTTCATAGAAAGTATAGGGCAGAGGAGCTACACCTGGAGGTTTGCAGAAGGATTTAAGGGTCATTGAGCCTCCTGAGGAAAATAGGCAGTATTTTTGTGAACCAGGGGCATTTTAATGGGAAAACATGGTTTATACATGTATCAGATTTCCAAATGGATCTGCAGATCCCTGATGATTAAGAATGAATGTTTTAAAGGTTATAGGTTCCAAGCTTAAAAGATTGGATCAAATGACTTCTAAGGGAAAGTAGATGACTATATTAGCATGCTTTCACTTTTTTTGTGATAGAAAACAGTTCAAACAAACTTAAGAAGGAATTTGCTGGTTTATGTAACTGAAAACAAACAGACAAGCAAAAAATACTAGGAAAATGCTGGCTCCTAGAACTATTAAATCCAGATAATTAAATAGTATCTTTAATTAAGTTTTCCTTCTCCTTACTCTTTGTTTTCTCTGTATTGTGTTTATTCTTAGGCCTACTGTTTCTGTATGTTGGAAAAAGATATTAGTATGCAGCTTAAGTCTGCTAGGTCTTAGAGTTTAAGATTCCAGAAGAAGAGAAGGTAATGTCTTAGTTTGTTTTCTCTTGCTGCAACAGAATAGCCAAGATTGAAATTTGTAAAGAAAAGAGGTTTATTTTGGCTCACAGGTTTGGAGGCTGGGAAGTCCAAGATAGGCAGCTGCATCTGGTGAGGGCCTTGGGCTGCTGCAACTCGTAGAATAAGCTGCAGGACAATGGGCATGTGTGGAAGAGGCAAAAACATGAGGGGCCACCCCACTTGCCAACAACCTGCTCTTGTGGTGACTAATCCAGTCCTGCAGGAACAAGAACTCACTTATGTAAGAAAGGTATTAATCCATTTTAACCTAGTCACCTCCTAAAAGTCCCACCACTTTTTAACACCCTACTGCAATAGAGATCAAACTCCAACATGAATTTTGGTGGAGACAAACTACATCCAAACCATAGCAGGTAGTATTTTCCCTAAAAACTGACAGATGTCACAGAAAGGACTGACCAGTCTGTTTCATCTCCCACTAGGGAGATGGAGTCAACACCAATCAAATTACATGGACTGAATAGAAATAGCATGAAACTGAGGAGAGGAATTTCCCCAAAGGAAGGCAATGTAAGTAGGCAGAAGTCTCCTCCTCAGTGAGTGAAACATTTGAGGACTGATAAAGTAGATAGTGGATTGAAAATTACACATTAAAACTAGGGTGTATTTAGTGAAACCTAAGGTTTTTGTTTCCTTTGTTTTTGTTTTGTTTGGTTTGGTTTGGTTTGGTTTTGGGATCTAACTTAGGGCCTCTCGTGCTATAAGCAAACACTGCCACTGAGCTGTACCCCAGTCCATGAAACATAAGTTTTGGGTTTTTTTTTTTTTTTTTGTGATTTATACATTTTTGTAAATGCATTTTTTAAAAAAAATTTTAAATACAAATATTTTCAAATTTTTAAAAAGTAAAATATAAATAATATAGATTTTTTTTAAATCTAAATTTTTATTCTGAAAGATTTATTTATTTATTTAACAACTAGTTGAGAACCTGTTATGTGCTATCACTGTTCTTTGCACTGGAGATATGGCAATGAATAAAACAAAAGTCTCTGCCTTCATAAGGAGCCTACATTCTAGTGAGGACAGGCAAGTAATAAATAAGAAAAATTACTAAAAGATTTTTAGTAATGCTGGATGGGGATAAGTGCTCTGGAAAAATAAGTAGGGAGGGGAGATAGGAAATGGGTGAGGTCTCAAGGTGACATTTGGACAAAGACATGAAGGAAGTAAGGAGGAAGCAAGCCATTTATATATCTGGAGGAAGAGACTTCCAAGCAGTAGGAAGCAAGTGCAAATAAATGCTTGGAGTGTTGGAGAAACTGCAAGGAGCTTGACTTGCAGGGTGGGCAACTAAATAGGGGGTGATGTCAGAGAAGTCAGAGGATGGAGATAACAAATCATTTAGGCCCAGGGAAACTATGGTGAGGGCTGTGGTGAACAATATAGACGGTCAGAAGGTCTTGAGGAGAAAATCTGACTTATTTGTGAAGGACCCCCTAACTACTGAGAATGAATTGTAGAGGGGCAGGGATGAAGGTGAGAAGACTAATTAGGAGAATATTGCTATAGCAATAATGTAGGCAATAGAGCATGGTGTTAGAGATGATGAAAATTGCTTGGATCTGAGGTAGATTTGGTGTTAGATTGGAAATGAGGTATTAGAGAAAGAGAAGAGCCAAAGCTGACTCCAAAGTATTGGAGCTGAACAATTGTCTATAGTGATTTAATGAACTCGAGAAGACCAGAAGAGGAGCAGGTTTTGACATGCTAAATTTAGATGCTTGTTAGAATCCAAATGAAGTTCAGTAAGCTATTGGACATACAAATCTGAAATTCAGGTCTGGGTTGGAGATAGAAATTTGGTAGTTGTCAGCATATAGTTAGTATATAAAACCTTGAAAATGAATGAGATCACCAAAGAATAAGAGTAAGCAAGGAGGAAGTCAGACACATAGGAGGAAGTGGTACATAGCTATAATTCCAGCTACTTCAGAGACTGAGGATCAAGAGTTCAAGGCCAGCCTGGACAGCATTGTGAGTCCCTGTCTCAAAGTAAATAAATAGATAAATAAATAGATAAACAAACAAGAAAGAGAAAATTTGTTCAAGGACTGAGTATACCAATGTAAAGAAGTTGGGGAGAAGAGGAATCAGTAGCAAAGAGGAGCAAGAAGCAGCAACTAGTAAAGTAGGAAGATAATAAGGAAAAATCCTGGAAGTCAAACAAAAAAAGAGAAATGTTTTAAGCAGAAGTAAGTGATCTATTGTCAGATGTTGCTGATATAATAAATAATTAAGATAGATTTGGAGGAGTTGCTCAAACAGTAAGAGCACTTGCTTAGCAAGCATGAGACCCTGAGTTCAAACTCCAATATCACCAAAAAAAAAAAAAAAAAGATGAAGACTGAGATTTGATGATTGCATTTAACCATGATCCCCTTGATGGGAATAATTTTAGTACATTACATTTGATTGGTGGAGATACTCTTAACCCATGCTGTTGTCTTAGGAATTTAAACTCCATGGTTCAGGTGAAGCTATAAATAAGACTGCTTACTATTGATTTTGTTTATTTATCTATTTTATTTATTTATTTTGCAGTACTGGAGCTAGAACCCAGGGTCTCATACATGTTAGGCAAGCACTGTACCCCTAGACTACCCTCAAACTCGAATAATCATCTAACAAATATTTATTGATAATTCCTTCATTCTGTTGTTCCCTCGTACATATTATGGATTAAAAATTGTTTTGAACTCAAGATGAGTATGGAAGTACACTAAAGATTTATTATATTTTTTAGTAGGATATATATGTATTTTCCAGTGTCTACTATATGAAGTGGAGACACCTTACTAAACAAATGATTTTTGTCATAATTTTACTCCTGTATTTGAAGGTTTTAAGCATAGTTTTTATAGAGAATCTTAAAATCAACCTAAGTTCACAATTCTGAGATCTTTTTAAGTAGTTAATGCATAATTGCCATTCTTCATACCAAGAAACAAGAGTTGAAAATATGAAAATGTATATTGTTTCTCTGATGAAAATGTGTATTGCTCTTCTTTATTAGAAATTCATTGAATTTGAAGATTCTCAAGAACAGGAAAAAAAGGATTTACAGACCAGAGTGGAATCTCTAGAATCTCAAACAAGACAACTTGAACTCAAAGCAAAAAACTATGCTGACCAGAGTAAGTGAAAATACCTCTCCTCCTAAGTATGTATTAAAGAGTGGGCTCTGAAAGTGTGATTATTCATCTTGACGTTTGATGAGGATTTAAAATATATGCTTGGAATTACCATCCCAGAATCAAAGAGTGAGTAAATCCTGGGTGCTAGTGTTAGTTCTTTTTTGTTTACATTTCATATGGTACCCATGTATGCAGAAATCAAAGATACCTATAAGACTTACTTCATCAGCCTGTTTGTAGTTGACATTATTCTACAACTCATCATGTGTGTGCATCATTTCTTCTAATTTTCATCAAGCACACAGAATTCCATTATTTCTGTATTGCTTTGAAATTTAGAAATATAAGAGAAGATAATTTTGAAGTATGTATAAAAATGAAGTCTCTTTTTTGTTCTTTTCTAATGGAAAAGTAAGGGCACTTAGAGGAATGGAAATTCATTATTTCACTTTTAATATAATTTCATGTTATTCTTTTTTTGGTGGCATTGTGGTTTGAACTCAGTGCCTCATGTTTGCTAAGCAAGCACTCTACCACTTGAGCCACTCCACCAGTCCTGTTTTTTTGTTTGTGTTTTTCGAAATAGAGTCTCACAAACTATTTGCCCTGACTAGCTTTGAACTACGATCCTCCTGATCTCTGCCTCCTGAATAACTAGGATTACAGGCATGAACTACCAGCTCCGGGCTCATGTTCTTGACTTTTAAAAAAATTGTTTCAAACCTCAAGAATGATTTTCCCTTTTTGGCTAATGAAAATGGAACTAATTAAGTCAAAAGCAGACAAAGAAATAGTGAGAAATTGTATGACTTATTTTCATATCTGAAACAGTTAGGCAGAGAGCTCTCTTCTTTTCTCTCCCAGCATTTTAAACTTTCAGAATCCCAGCTTTCAAGAGATAGTTAAGCAGTTACTCTTCCCACCTCACTCCTTAAAACTACCTAGTGATACCTGCCATTCATGATCCATAACTTTCACCACAAGGCTTGGAGGGTATGTGAGAACTGAATGTACCCTCTTGAACTGTAGAAGGGCCTAGCAGAGTTAAATTCAAATCACTGGGAATCTGGAGCTCAAACATTCTAGAAAATTCAAGAGCTCACATGACTATTAGATATCTTAGAACACAGCCAATGGATATTTGGTAACAAAAACCAAATTGAATGAAACAAAATGAGCTATGTTATGACTTTGTGGTTTTAGATTTGAGGATACCTGGAGTTGTGTACCTTTCCTTGGTTTACACTGAATGCATCAACTTCTATGGTTCTACTGCAGAAATTTGAAGACGTAGAAACTTTGTAGTAGATTCTAGAGTGCATACCGGAATCACATTACACTCATCTGGAGAAACAGTTTTATAGCAGTTGCAAGCTTTTGGCACATTTTAAAAGTTGAGCATTCTCTAAAGAAGAAAAATATTTGGCTACTGAGGATAATTTTAATCCTGACTTGATTATGCTTTCATATCAGGGATTATATAGTATTTTAGAATTAAACACTAAAGGCACATTAAGTTATCAAGTTTTTTCTTGATTTCTGAAGAGTGCAAAGGTTTTAGTAGAAAATTTTCTTTTGACTTGGAAAGGAATTTCTTATCAAGTGCTTTTATTCTTTTTTTTTCCAATTTTTAAAAATACTTGGCTATTTTTTTATTTGTTTGTTTTACTTCCTTATCTGTCCCTTCCTCAAATCTCCAATATAGATCTTATTTTTTAAAAAGATAGTGGTAAGAGGTAATCATAAATACCATCAGTGCTCTGTAGTATTGGAAATCCAGGACTGGGAATAAGTGCTTTTTAAAAGATGAAAACAAATTCCAATATTATTGACATATGTCAGACTGTAATATTATTATTATTATTATTATTTTGCTTTTAGATTTTATTTGTTTGTTTTTGGTTGTGTTGTTTTGTTTTGTTTCCAGATAAGTTTCCCAGTAACTTTACCTGCATTGGCTATTTTATCGCCTCATCTGGAGTAACTGAGATCACAGGTGTATGCCACCATGCCTAGCTCTTTTTTACATATTAGAAGACAGATTTGGGCTAGATTTAAAAAAAAAAATTTGATAATTTTGAGACAGGTCTTGCTATGTAACCCAGGCTGACTTCGAACTTGCAATCCTCCTGCCTCAACCTTCTGAGTGCTGGGATTTCAGGTGTGTACCACTGTGTCCAGCTTCAAGTTCCATGTTCTTATCTGTACAATGTGTAAAGAGTGTAATTTTAAAAGACTGAGCATCTCAATTCTGATTGATGTGTTTTAGAGCACATGCCCTTTTTTAAAGTAGGTTTTTTTTTTAATATTACAATGGTTTTTATTTTTATTTTTTATTTTAATTTTTTGTTGGTACTGGGGTTTGAACTCAGAGTCTCATGCTTGCTAGGCAGGCACTATTACCACTTGAGCCACTCCAGCAGCCCAAAAGTAGAAGTTTAATAGAAGTTCAAGTTTTTCTCTAAAGTCTACTTCCTATATTAAAAGGGAATTTTTGGTTGCACTTATTTGTTACTTGAGAAGCAAGAAAAAAGAAATAGGATCTGAGCTAAAGGACACACTTTACAGCTTTCAATAGTACAGAATTTATCAGGTTGTGGTATGACTCAATATTGAGAATTTGGGTCTATAAAAATTTTGTTGTAATTTTGTGGTACTGTTTGATTTTGGAGCTTTCTAGTTCTCTTTTCAAACTCTGGACTAACATGATATATCTAACTTTTCCAGCATGGATAAAGCATTTTTTAAATGCTTTATATTATTTCTTACCTGATAGTAACAGTAACACTCTTTGTAATTAACCTCTTGTTAGCCTTCAAGAAGAGTCTGAAGTGGGGGATAAAGGAGAATGATGGCAGCGAATTCAACTATAATAAGTAAGAACTTATGTAAATGTCACAATGTACCCTCAGTACAACAATAATATGATAGTTAAAATGAAAAAAAGGAAGACCCTGAAATATATATGGTGTGGCGTGAGCAAGTTATAAATTGAGAAAGTCTTATAAATTGAGAAAGTATAGTTTGGTGCTTGACATCTAATCAGCTTTGCTATCCATAGTGACAGTAATGGGTTGTTTATCAGAAAATACTTTATATTCATTGTTTTTATTGTATGTTGACTGCTCCTATCTTACAAACCAATTATTATCTTTAAAGAGTCAAACACAATAGACATTTTATATAATTAAAATGTAAACGGCTGTGATATGCTTAGTAGTTGTAGTGTGCTGTGGTGTGATTATGGCAGAGGAAGAATATCATGTCCTTGTCAAAGAAATCATAGTTTTGTGGGGGTGGGAGAAGGTTATGTGTATGACTTTCTAGCGTTTTTTCTATATGTATCATGTTCTTAATATCACTGAAGTTTAAGTGTCTATATAATTTTGTAACTTTTTCTTAAATTTTTCATAAGTATTTTCCTTTCTGTATAATCTTTACTTTCTTTTTTTTTTATTTATATTTTGAGACAGAGTCTCACTATGTAGCCTAGGCTGGCCTCAAACTTAAGATCTTCCTTCCTCAGCCTCCTGAGAGCTGGGATTACAAATGTGTTCCACCATACCCAGCTTGTTTTTTATTTTTTAAATGCCTGCATATATTGAGCATCCAAAAGCTATGCCATTTACTAACAATTCTTGGTTTTACTGAAGAGCTAGCTGGCTTTTCTCTAATGAGAATTATTTAATAGCCATTTTGTTTTTCTTCCTTAGCTACTCAGAACTCAGGACAAATTTTATAACAAATGGTTTGAACCTTATCTGGTAGCATATGTAAATTGTTTTTCTCCAGACGCACATTTTATACATAAATAATATTCTTGAACCTGTCTCAAATCCTTTATGGAATGAAGGAATGAATCAGGGTAAAAATAAAAGTAAACTAGCTTAGGGGCCTAGCTTACTGGTAGGGTAGCATTCTGGAGGCCTTGCGTTGGATCTCCAGCATGCAAAGAAAGAAAAACAAAACAGAAACTTCCTCTGTTGGTTGGCTGTTTCTAGTATAGTGAGTCATATTGCAGTAAATATTTTTTTCACTTCTACTGATTTTCCTCCCTTTTGATAATTTTCTTAGAATATATTTAAGGAAGCTGGTCAAGGAGTGTGAACATTTTTATGATTCATGGCACATTATAGTGTTTGGACGTAAACAGAATTGGAAAGTAAGGATTAGAAGCAAATTATTTTATCAAAAATTGTGAATTTAGCCATTATTTATAACTTACTTATTAGCACCTAAAGCTGATATAGAACTGTTTATTATTTTGTTTGCTTTTAGAAAACTAATTGCTCTCTAGCTCCTTGAGTTAACAGTAGAATGCTTTTCCCTTGGGTACAGAGCCATTGCCTTTTGCAGAGAGGAAGGTAGAAAGATTTAAGACAGCAGAGATTTTTTTAAAAAGCTGTTTGAACTGAAACTAGATCCATGTATATCACCCTATACCAAGATTAACTCAAAATGGATCAAGGATCTTAATATCAGACCCCAAACTCTTAAGTTGATACAAGAAAGAGTAGGAAATACTCTGGAGTTAGTAGGTATAGGTAAGAACTTTCTCAATGAAACCCCAGCAGCACAGCAACTAAGAGATAGCATAGATAAATGGGACCTCATAAAACTAAAAAGCTTCTGTTCATCAAAAGAAATGGTCTCTAAACTGAAGAGAACACCCACAGAGTGGGAGAAAATATTTGCCAACTATACATCAGACAAAGGACTGATAACCAGAATATACAGGGAACTTAAAAAACTAAATTCTCCCAAAACTAATGAACCAATAAAGAAATGGGCACGTGAACTAAACAGAACTTTCTCAAAAGAAGAAATTCAAATGGCCAGAAAACACATGAAAAAATGCTCACCATCTCTAGCAATAAAGGAAACGCAAATTAAAACCACGCTAAGATTCCACCTCACCCCTGTTAGAATAGCCATCATCAGCAACACCACCAACAACAGGTGTTGGCGAGGATGCGGGGAAAAAGGAACCCTCTTACACT